TTGAGAGCCAAAAACATCACACCGGAAGAAGCTTAGTAAGAATCACACCTCACACAAATGAAGCTGTATTCAGTTTCCTCTGTAAAGAATATTGCAGACACAATGAGTTATCTTCTCACCTCCTTGGACTGATGACTGTGTCTCCTTCATCTTTTTATCCACAGTTCCTGATACCAGGTGCTGCGAATACTGTGTTATATAAATTGAATCCAATACTAATATTTTTCACAAGTTGAAAAACATTTTTAAAAATGTGGCTGGATATTCTTTAAAGTCTCTTTTGCTAGTTTATTCATTCAACAAACACCATTTCCTACTAGACACTATGCCTATAACAATTTAAGACCATATTAAGATCAATCATTAATTATATTCCCTAAGTAAGCTTATTTCACACCCTGGAATCCATATCATTAGCGTCTGTGCACTGGAAATAACTATATAAACATAAACTTACTATTATTATGTGAAAATATTTGGGAATTTTTAAAAATTCTTATTTACGTTTCTTAAAACATACTTGAAAAATGTGCCTAGAGTGATCCTATTAACCACAGGCACACAGAGCACATGAGGCAATCCTATGTTTTGTATCTGTGCACAAATAGCTTTAGGACAGAATTTAAATGTGCCAAAACCCAAAGTTCTTCCAGATGTATGCTTTCACTGATTTCTGGAAAATTGCTTCACAGTACCCTCTCAAAGTACATAGACCACATTATAAAATCCAGAGGCCACTATGCACTTTTACAAAATCCATTGCGTTGACTCATGCTGTCATTTGTCAGTGAAATGATGTTGTAAATATTCTCACATCTTTCTATGCTGCCTGGCTTAGACTTATTATAGAGTTTTCCAAATTCCTACCCTCATTAATGACTCTTTTTCTAAAACTGGAGAAATGCTCACTTAACCAAATGTTTAAAAATATTATTTTTTCCTCCAGTGAGTTTTAATCTTTTTGAATTAAATGATGTTTATCAGGAGAACCCTTCTTAGTGCATGCCTACTATGAATATTTATCCTTTTTTTTTTTTTTTTACATCAATGAAAATAGTTTGAACATCAGCATTCTTTTGTGTTTCATTTTGTGTGTGTGTGTTTTGCTGAAGCCTGATTTGGAGTGTACTTGGGAGAATGTGACTCCTCTAAGTAGAATCATCACTTTCATGGAGAATCAGGCAAAAGGATGTCACTTTTTCTTCCTCTTCACGGCAGAATCTCAGTATTATTTTTCAATAATGTATAACAAATTAGCACAAACCTAGCAACTTAAAACAACACATACTTATTATCTCACAGTATTAGAGGGTCAGGATTTCAGTTGTAACTTAGCTGGGTCCTCTACTCAGGGGACCCAGGGCTACAATCAAGGTATTGGCTGGGCTGTGTTTTCATTTGGAGGTTCAAATGGGTAAGGTCTGCTTTCAGACTCATTCTGTTTGTTGGCAGGAATCATTTTTCTTGCAGTTGTAGGACTGATGACTTTGAACTCTTACTGGCTACCAGCTGAAGGCCTCCTTTAAGATCTAAAGGCCACCCATAGTCCCTGCGGTTCATAATGTGGCAATTTGCTTCTTTTAAGCACAGCAGGAGGGTTTCCCTATGCATCTGCTAGCAAGACAGGTGTGTGTGTGTGTGTGTGTGTGTGTGTGTGTGTGTGTGTGTGTGTGTGTAATAACAATGGGATTGATATCCTATCCCCTTTGACATATTTTTGGTCGGATTGCTGGGAGGTCACCTTAGGGTCTGTCTGCCACAATCCCATTAGAACTGAAAAATACTTAGACAGTGACTTAGAGTTAGATATAAGTTATTTTTATCACTTTTCTGGAGTCTAGTTATCTTAAAGAAAGTTTGTAATTCTCTAAACAAATCTATTTTTGTTCCCCTGTTAAAAAAAAAATAGGAGCCATATAGCAATTCTTGAGCAAGGCCTGGGGAAGCTGCAGGACCCAGAAGGGTGAAGAAGGTTAAGTGGGAGAGAGAACTACTGACCTCAAGCACATTGAAGAGGTCAAAAGTCCAAAAATCTAGATATCACTGGTTGTTGGTTTGTGTTTACCTGTTTTGTGATTTATTTTGCTGATTTTTCACAAATATTGGAAACTATATGTGTTTCATCTGTCTTTCCATTCAAAATGTGCTATTATCACCAACTTCAAAGTTCATACAACTACCATGGATATCCTTTAGCACAACACCTAAATTCTCTGAAGAGGTAAGCCTGCTTTTGGCTTCAGAAATAGAACGCAGGAATGTAGTTTACCATCTGTCTGAAACTTTTAAAGTAACTTTTTTCCAAGAAAAATGTGGATTATACGCAACAAACAGAATTTTCTGGTCTCAGAACAGGAAAAATAAAGGAACCTTAAGTATTATTTTAAGTACTTTGTTTGCTAGTAGTGTTTGTGGTGAATGAAAAATTGATCCTTAATTGTGTGGGAAACAGAGAAGTGATCTGCATGGCAACGGCCAAGGACAGACGTCAGAGACCTCGCAGTTTTGAAGCTGATATTTATGAACATCTGCTTTTTCCCCATAAATTTTAATATGGATTGTATCCTTTGAAACTCACACAACTCCCAGGTGCTTCTTCAGTCTTGATCTTGGAAAACACACTTTTAAAAGAAAGTCTTCTTTTTTCCATTGAACATACTCAAAATCATTTTTGTCTAAACAATATTCCTAGATATATGGCACCTATTGGAATGCCTGCGATATGGTATTAAAGGTTAGCAACCCAAAATCTTGCAATCACCATGTCAAACCTCCAAAATGTCCACCCCCAGAACACAAGCCATAATAGTCTTAATAGAGGGTGCTGGAAAGTATCCATTTCTAGGCCCAGGGCATGCCTTTTGTTATTACACCAATATTTGTTTAGTGCTTGCTATGTAATAGGCACTTTTAGGTGCCAAGTTTATAGCAGCCAACATAACAGACAAAATATCTGTCCTCATTGTGTTTATGTTCCAGGGAGTGTAAATGTTCTCTTTAAAAATTCCCATTAACTTTTTGTAATATCCTTTATATAGTTCATTAGTAAAAAAGCTTTGTGCTGGGTCTACAAACCAATGCTAATCCATTAATGATGCGAACTGGACTCTGGGGGTATTGTGAAAAAAAATAGACATGTTTCTGTTCTCAGTGAACTCATAGTTGGACATACTTCTCACCTCTGTCAAAAAATTTAGAACTGAGAATTAGGAGCTTTGGGATGCAATCCGGGTAGCCATTTGATCATTTTCTATTTAGATCCCTTATAAGCAGTGCAAACAGTGCCTACGCCCCTCAGCCTTGACAATTCTAAGAACTGTTCCTATACAGAGAGAAAATAAGAGTGTGTAGGCTAAAGGAAAGGAAACAAAATCACAGCTCAACAGACCACAAACATGTGAATTGACTGGGTACATGCAAGGCCAACAAGAACATTAAGTCCCTCTTAGGAGGAGGAGCCTTTTAAGAATGCAGTTTCTGGTCATCCTATACCAAAGGATACAAGTCATTTACATAATAGGAAAGCCTCAGGAGGACAGTAGAGCTATTTAATTTGGTTAGGCTAATAGTTTTCCATCCATTTGCAGTCTAACCGAACCTCTCTCCCTGCCTCTTAAAGAGGAATGCATTGGCTTGGTGCCACGGGGCACATAAAACATGTGCAGTCTTCTTGGAGTGTTAATTCTACTCAACCATTTGGAGGAAAAAAGTTAATTAATTTACTGATAAATAATGTAATGCATTATCTTCCATTAAAACCAATTCAGGCCAGGCATGGTGTCTTATGCCTGCAATCCCAGCCCTTTGGGAGGCCAAGGAAGGTGGATCACTTGAGTTCAGGAGTTGGAGACCAGCCTGGCTAACATGGCAGCACCCCGTCTCTACTAAAAATACAAAAATTAGCCAGGTGTGGTGGCAGGCACCAGTAAACCCAGCTGCTCGGGAAGCTAACACATGAGAATCACTTGAACCCAGGAGGTGAAGGTTGCAGTGAGCCAATATCGCACCACTGCACTCCAACCTGGGCAACAGAATGAGACTCTATATCAGAAAAAAAAAAAAAAAGTAAAAATTTAAAAAAAAAATCAATGCAGCTTATATTAGGTAATAGAATGCAAAATTTGCATACACTTTTAGGATAAAGCATAAGAACTAAACAGTGCTGGAGCCAAGGTCTGAGGGATTAAGCCCCACCCCCATATTTTCCATCAGCTCCCTGTAAAGCCAACATAATACATATAATATGTATATATGTATGTGTGTGTGTATATATATATATATATATATTTTTTTTTTTTGAGACAGGGTCTCACTCTGTCACCCAGGCTGGAGTACAGTGGTGCAATCTCGCCTCACTGCAACTCCTGCCTCACAGGCTCAAGTGATCCTGTCACCTCAACCACCTGAGTAGCTGGGACCACAGACATGTACCACCATGCCTGGCCAATGTTTTTGTATTTTTGGTAGAGACAAGGTTTCGCCATGTTGCCCAGGCTGGTCTTGAACTCCTGAGTTCAGGCAATCTGCCTTCCTCCACCTCCCAGAGTGCTGGGATTATAGGCATGAGCCACCACGCCTGGCCAATAATATTTTTTGATGTGGATAATTCTTTCTCAATTTTGTATAAAATGTAAATCCCCCAGCAGCATGTCTTCCAACCACATTGCCACTTGGATATCCCTTCTTTTTAGAAAATCTGGAGCCACTGCTAGATGCAAGAAAATTCTGGGCCATTTCAGGCTCTGACACCTCAAACCCTGACACTCAGCCCTGGGGCCTGTGCTCACTCCCGCTGCATTTATGAATACTCTCATGGAAAAGTTTAGCTGAATGCTTTTTTTAAGGTCGGTCAAGATAAATTTTTTTCAATGCTGCCTCTTAGTCCTTAGTACTGAGATTGAGCATTGACCATCCTGATCCACATCCCCTTCTCCCAGTCTCGGAATGTTAGGTAGCAGGCAGAGCAGCTTATGTTCTTTGTGCTTGTGTTCCTGACACAGGATCTGGACCAGGTACAGCTCCATCTGGAAGAAGTGAGGTTCTTTGACGTGTTTGGCTTCAGTGAAACAGCAGGAGCATGGCAATGCTTCATGTGCAACAACCCTGAAAAAGCAACTGGTGAGAGAGCCCTACCTGCTGATAAGAACCATTTGTGCCCCGCTTTACAGGGATCTGTCAGCTCCATTGTTCTAGGTGGCTTTCCTCTTACATAAACATCCCCAGTGGTAATAATGCCCAGAGTCATGTCCCTGCTTTGTGCTGAGAAAGGCATCTCACCAAAGTGGTCGTAGGATAAAAGGAAAACTTTGGGAGGCAGAGAAGCAATCCCTCACCTATATGTGGTTATCAAGGAAGCAGTATCAGTCATTTTGCCCTAAAAGTATTCATTTCATCCAGATGACCCTGAGAGTTAGAGAGAAAAAAGTGTTCTGTCAAGCTGTGTTCCTTGAGGAAATGAGACCACACTAAATGAGTGAATCAGCACACAGACCACGTTTTCTCATTTAATCCCTAACACTGCTGCTTGATGATTAAACTGTGTAAAAAGTGAAGCATTAAAATAGTAAGAAATTGTCTGAGAAATAACTTCATAGCTGGTTATTCATTTTCCACTTCCTTTCTGCTGCTCAAGGTATTTGGTCTACTGACCTTGCCTAAAAATAATTGTTAGCAAATACAAGTCATGCCCTATGCTAAACGTATCAGATACCTTATCTCATTTAATCAGTCCTTGCAATACTCTTATGAGGAAAATACTGATATTATCTCTGCTTTACTGATGAGGAAACTGAGGCACAGAGAGGTGTGGTAACTGCCCAAGGTCATGAAGATTAATTAACAGCAGCAGAATTTGAATGCAGCCTGACTCTAGAACCCATGCTCTTAACCATTTCACCATTCTGCCTCCGGGTTACACTTGGCTCAATCCAACCAGTGGAAACAGGTTGCTAATAAGCCTATGTCCAAAAAGTTATGCTGTCATTGGAAGTGAAATATTTCATCACTAGTGTGCCCTTTGAGAGAGAGAGCTCTCAGTGCTGACACAGCTCAGAAACTGCATTTTGGACGACAAGAGCGGTGTTAAAAAGACTGTTGAACACAAAGCCACTTTGTAGATGAGCCATCCTCTAGACAGCCATTGATTATACCACCTGTACCTGGTCCTTTAATTTTAGGATTTTATGCATCTTCAAGATTACCCATTGTGGCAAGTCTGTCCTCTTGTTAACTGCCAGGATGTTGAGGCTGAATCAAAAAAGTATGTTTATTTGGCCAGATGGAGATGTGTAGGGCTCTCAGAGAAGTACCAATTAAAATGTATTACCCCACGGAAAAGATGCGGATGGCAGAAGCTGGCAGTTAGGACGCCAGGCTTTGTGAAGCACAGATTGTTGGCTGATTACAGAGTCTGGATTGAGCCAACGCCAGAGTGAACACCCCAATTTTTTAAAAGTTAATTCAAACAAATAAGGAATTGGGGAATTGACTGTCTCCATTATAAAACTTTCCAATTAGACCTTATTTTATATATGAAAAAGAGCATAAAAGAAACCTTATTTGAGAGCTAGTAAAATAAGGTACTTACCTTAGGTAGCTCTGAGAGGCCCTGAAGAGTTGTCACTCCGAGTAAGCTGAGTTCTTAGTTCAATAAATATTTAATCATATCTGGCCAAGGGAGGCCTCAGAAAAGGGGCTGGAAAGTTAAAAACACAAAGTGTTCCTTTAATATATGTTTTCTCAAATTCACTGCCATGCTCTTGAAATGAACGTTCTGCACATTCACTCTTTCTTATTTGTGTTCCTCATAGTTAAATATGGACTGAGAACATATAGCAATAAAAATTCAAACAAGGCCAAATATTTTATAGCACAACATATTGAATCAAAATGTTTGGCCCTGAAAACTTCAGTGGGTTTGGATTTCTTTGCTCATTTCCTTTTGCTACATGAAAGAGGATTTGAGTTTGAGAAAAGTCCTATTTTAAACTGTTTTTCTTTTTCCACCAAAACCCTTGACTCCCTGGATAGTTTATATAGGTTGTTGATTTCATCTTCTTTTTTATATAAGCACTTAAATTATATATTTAATCTAAGTGAAAGGTCTAACATAATACTGTTGCCAAATATATTTCTCATGGAGACGGTATTTGCATTCAAGTTCTGCTTAAATTCAAAGTTTAAAGATGAGACATAGCAACAAATACTTTATTGGTCATGCACAGCTAGCGTATTACTTGCATCCAATTTTTATGCAATGCATGTTTGTTGCATTAGTTGAGTGTCTTCTACAGGCTGACCCTTGGGATAGAAATATGAATAAGGTACAATGTCTCTGCTCTAAAAGAAATTCATAATCCAGTTAGGGCCAAAAGGTGTATTCAAAAAAAACTAGCATTCTTCTTTTATGCTTTTAGCATGCTATATTTGTTGAGTGAGTGAATGAATGAATGAATAATATTTTTAAAAGGCAATGTCAAATATTCCTTGAATGTTAAAATGTAATGTTTTAAGATTGTGATTATATGCTAACAATATCAAATTCATCACTATACCATACCCAATGCATTCTGAACCTGGTAAATGGAGATTGGGGCTGTTTCTCCCTAAGAGAAGTCGCCACTTGTAAAGCCTTGATCCACTTACCTGCCTGTCTTAGCACCTAGAATGTACTATGCCCTACTGAGTACTATGTACTGGTCTGGGTTTCATCAACACCCACACAGGGGCCAGATGCCCTATCAGCCTCAGGAAGAAGGGGTCCAAAAGAAGTAGAACTGAAGTCCAGAACAAAAGGCCAAAGAAACTGGGTTTTTTATATTTTTTTAAAGAATTGACAAATGATACAATAATTGTTTTCAAGTATTCACGTTTCAATATTTTTTAATGCTGTCCAGCATCTCCATAAATGAGGAACAAAACATGAGGCAATTAGAGAATTTCAGTTAGACATTAGGAAAGACATCAAGAAATATATAATACTTCTTAGTAGTGTGTAGACTCAGCCAGAGAAATCCTTCAGAAATTGACAGTATCTCAGCTTACTGACATGGTCAACTCACATACGTTCCTGTCTTCGAGTAAAAGTCTCATCACCATCCTCCCACCAACTTCACCATCAACACACAGAAATTCACAGGAGTTTAATATCTGGTGATCAATAAAATATTTTTATCCAACAAAGTACAGATAGTCAGAGGAAAGTAAATGCTAAACTAATGTAGAGGCCCTGACATGATGATCATTGTTAGCATTCATCATTCTAATGATATGCTAAGTTTGCATGCATTTTTCTCATTTTCTTACCATCACTGACTTCATTTTACAGATCAGAAAACTGAAACACAGAGAGATTAAGTAATTTTCCCCAGGTCACACAGCTTCTCAGTGATGGAACCAGTATTTTAATCCAGACAGGACAATTCCAGAACCTGATTTTTCAACCTATAGGGAAAATTCAAGTTAAGGACACAAAATATTGGAAATTCCAAGAGCAATCATTCAGTAATGTTATAATATATTATACAGACCCAGAGACAAGTTTAATTTTTTAGAAGTGACCTACTTCCTTGATGACTTACTCTACTTAAAGAAGAACAGAGACTTTGGTATGATAATGTGTGAGAAATTATTACTTGCAGGAAATGATTACAATAGAATCTATTTCCTATTCTTCCAACTGCTGAATCAGTTTCTGATAATCATTTTATAAAAGTTCAGAGTGGAAGATTAGAAAATCTCTGAAATAACTCAATAATCCTCAGAGACTTGCCTGGTGGTGTTTATTGCAGATCTCGTTATTCCACATGAATGAGAGAATGGAGATTGAGCAAGTAGATTGAACAGAACAGAACTTATTTCTGGAAAACCAAGCTAATCTTCTTTATCAGTTGCCCTTGTGTCTTGGAATTGCACAATGTATGTTGACAGTAAGAGTTAGTCAGCTGGTCTGTCCTGGAACATCTGGCTTTCTCTTCAGTCACTTTTTTTTAAAGTAGGAGGAAGAACTGGGTCATGACTTTCACTCATTTCGCGAGACACATGGGATGCCTTTGTTCTTACACCCTACAAAAAACAGCTTAGAGTTTTGGCACTCCTGTCCTCCTTGATAAATCTAAGCAGTCCCATGTGATTAGTCTCTTAGTCACTAGACATTTAGAGTTTGAATGTGATCGTCAGTAGAAGGTCTTCTTGGGTCCAAAAAGAAAATGGAACAATTTTTTCAAACAACTTTCTATCGTGATTCATCTTTAGAACTTGATTTCAAATAGTTGTGTTATAAGAACATACTGTCAAGCTGAGTGCAGGGGCACGTGCCTGTCACATCCCAGCTACTCAGGAGAGAGTGGTGGGAGGATTGCCTAAGGCCAGGAGTTTGAAGCTGTAGTGCACCATGATCAAGCCCGCGAATAGCCAATGCACTCCAGCCTGGCCAACATAGCTAAGACCCTGTCTCTAAATCTAAACTAACTAAATAAATACAAATTTTAAAAAAGAATGTGCTATTTATTGTATTATATTATATTATTAATACATGGGCAAATAGAGATGGTTTCAAAATGCCTTCTCTGTCAGGAGAGTTTTTTCAGACAGCCAAAAGAACTGTTACAGCAGTTGTGTCTGCTTTGAGGGGCACCCTTCATGTGAGCTAGATGATTTTTTCCACTCTAGATGCCAAGGTGAAAATGAACTAAATGACGTCTGAGAGGACCTAGCCCATAAGGCCACCAATAGCCTTGTGAGTCTATGAATATGAAGCTTTTCCATTAAATTTCAATGTCAACTTTCATAGAACTTTAAAAGTAATAAAAGAAAACTCAATTTTGGCCAGGCGCAGTGGCTCATGCCTGTAATCCCAGCACTTTGGGAGGCCGAAGCGGGCAGATCACAAGGTCAGGAAATCGAGACCATCCTGGCCAACATGGTGAAACCCCGTCTCTACTAAAAATACAAAAATTAGCTGGACGTGGTGGCATGTGCCTGTAATCCCAGCTATTCTGGAGGCTGAGTCAGGAGAATCACTTGAATCCGGGAGTTAGAAGTTGCAGTGAGCCAAGATCGCGCCACTGCACTCCAGCCTGGTGGCAGAGCGAGACTCATCTCAAAAAAAAAAAAAAAGA